TGCCCCCCACCACCACATCCCCACGCAACTCATGGCAAATGAAAAGTCTCCTACTCGTCTCAGCCCTGACCAATGGGACCTTTATCCCCGGCCCGGCCCCTTGCCACATATGAGAATCCCCACCCAGAGCGCCCTGGGTTCTGCCCCCACACCCTGCCTACACCAAACAGTGCAGCGGTGGGATTTGAAACGCGAATGATAAAAGTGGGAAAATCACACAGTGGAGAGAGAAAGAGAGAGAGAGAAAAAAACGTGAGGGCTTTTTTAAAATTGGCTTGTCGACCTTTCGTCACGCTGAAATGTGAACTCCCTCTCTATCCCCCCCCCCCCCCCCCCCCCCCCCCCCCCCCGCAACGCCCCGTTCACGTTCGTGTAAGTGTGTGTTTATGATTTTAACACCTCCCGCCCCCCCGCCCACCAATACCCCGCCAGGAGCACAAGGCCAAGGTGACGGCCCTGGAGAAGCAGGTGGCCCAGGCCAAGACCAAGTACTCGGTGGCCCTCCGCAACCTGGAGCAGATCAGCGAGCAGATCCACGCTCTCCGGCTGCAGAGACTGGGCTGTCGCCGGGCATCGCCGGTGGGGGCTGAGGCCGTGCCAGTCTACCCTGAGCGGGAGCTGGAGGAGGAGGAGGTGGACAAGGCCTCGGCCTACCCCCTGCTGGGGGCGGAGGAGAAGGGGGCCCCGCTGCCTCCCCCCTCGGACAACCTGTCAGTGCTGAGCTTCCAGACCATCGCCTCGGACCTGCAGAAGTTTGACTCGGTGGAGCACCTCGGCGATCTGTCGGACGCGCTGAGCCTGGACAGCGACGACCTGAGCCGGGAGGCCCAGAGGCCGAGGAGGACCTTCTTCCCCTTCAAGCACCACCGCAGCGTCAGCCTGTGAAGGGGGCGGTGGGCCTGAGAGCCCCAGGGGCCGAGGAGGACCATGGCGGGAGGCTGGGGGGTGGGGGTGGGGGTGGGGCGTGGCTGCCACTGCCACTGCATCCCAACCCTACCCCCCGCCCCCCGCCAAATCGTACACTGTTTACACCATTGTAGATACCAATCTGTCTCAATCAGAGAGAGAGAGGAATCCACTCCCCTCCCCAGCTAAAGCCCACCTCTGCTCCCTCAAGGTAGTCGACTTTTTATCATAAACGTGCCCACCCCCATCCCTGATGTACAAATTTAACAAAAACGCTGCTCTGCAAAGGAGGGGGTGCAGCTCAATTTATGCACATCTGCGAGCTCTTTCCCCCCCCTCAAAAAAAAACTCAATGGTTATGGTGAATAACCATTATCCTGCTGAATTACCACAGTCACTATACAGTGCATACCTAGGGTGTGATTTCTGGCCCAGTCGATAAGCAGGGAGTTACAATGGGTCAACCCTCATCCTGCTGGTTTGGTGTCGATTCCGTACGGTTCATAGCCAATAACCCTCACCCCTTGCTGTTGCAGTTAGGGACTAATTCATACCCTGCTCGAGAAGAAAAGCCCTATTGCATATAATTACGCAGTAAGTAACCCTTTTACACTGCTGACTGAACATGTACTTTGCACAACGAGGAAGTAATTTATACCCCACTGAATTTATGGGGTCTCCGTAAAATGTTGCCTTCAGTAGCTCCAGCCCTTTAAGTATCCAGTGGGGTGGACACTGGTTCGTACCGGCCCCCACCCCCCAACAACTGGGTCAGTGGGTCAGACATTGTCCAGCCAAACCCTCCCCCCACTCCGCCCCTCCAAAAAAAAAGGGTCTGGATCTGGCTCTGCCATTCCTGATGCTGCTGATTTGATTATCATTTATATTTTAGTAACTGGTTTAACTGGAACGCCTCCCCATTGGTCTTTAAACCATCAGAGCAGTGGAGCTGAGCTGTACCTGTGCACCTCGCTGAGCTCACTTGCTTCTGTGGCCTGGGGAATGGCTGCCATGCTTCGCAGAACCTGGACTCAGGAAGGGGTATAACTTGGCCAGGAGTTGCCCCACTCTGTACCTCTGCCTGGACACATCAACTAGGGTCTCCCCCACTTCATATCTTCCCCCTCCAACCCCCCACAGGATACATCAGCGAGGCTTCATCCATCCTGTACCTGTCCAGGATGAACCAGCCCTACGCCATGTCTGCACCACCTCCCCCCCCCCCCAGGTAAAACCCCCGGGGGTCCCCCCCGTCCCGGACCCCCCCCCCCCACCAACCCCCAACCCCCAAAGCCTCTCCCTGGGTAAATCGGCCAGGGTTACCCCGTGGCCCTGTCTCTGCCCGAGCATCATGTGGAGAGAGTGTGGGTGGCGGTGGTGTCTGTTTCAACTGCCTCCTGCTCAACGGGGAGAACGCCAATGCGGGCAAGAGGGGCCGTAAAGGCAGAACCGGCTGGCCCACCCTGTCCCGAAGCAGCCAACCTCCCCGCACCCACCCCACCCACCACTCCAACTCCTCCCCACCCGCTAAGACAAACCGGGGTGAGGCAGCAACACCAGTGGGACGATCCGACGGGAACGGTTTTGATTTGATTTTGAGATGTTCAAGCTGGCCTGCTTTCTTCTGCTGCCTGTTTCTGGTGCCACACCTGCCTGGCACTGTCGGTACGATGGACCTGGCGCTCCGAGAGGCGGGTCAAATGACTGCGTCAGTGCCAGTGTACCTCAATCATATTTATTATAGACCTGTTTTTATATCTGTTCGCATCTGTCTGTGTGCGCGTGTGATAGTACGGACTTCAGAATAAAGTTGGGAGAATTTGTCTGCCTTGGTATCGATTCATTACCTATCATAAGGCATGCATTAGGACCAGGAGAAGACCATTCAGCCTGCTACCCATTCAATATGGTACCTTTGGACCTAAGATGGTGCTGTGAGTGGTGACTATAAACTTTTTGCTGTACTCACCAAGTATGTGACAATAAAGCTAATTCATTGATTCATTCATTCATTTTTAACTCCACAATCTCGCCTTTACCCGATAACCTTTGCTTCTTTAAATGCTCTTAAAAAAATGTTCAACCTCTCTACTTCAGCCTTTTCAGGAAGAGAGTTCCAAAGATAGAAGTGGAGAGAGAAATTGGGGTGACACAGCGGCTCAGTGGTCAGCACTGCTGCCTCACAGCACCAGGGACCTGGGTTCAATTCCACCCTCAGGCGACTGCCTGTGTGGAGTTTGCACATTCTCCCCGTGTCTGCGTGGGTTTCCCCTGGGTGTTCTGGTTTCCTCCCACAGTTCAAAGATGTGTAGGCTCAGGTAGATTAGCCATGGGAAATTGCCCCATGGTGTCTAGAGGTGTTTGGGTTAGCCATGGGAAATGTGGGGTTACAGGGATAGGGTGGGGTCGGTCTGGGAGGGATGCCCTTCTGAAGATCAGTGTGGACTCAATGGGTCAAACAGCCTGCTTCCATACTGTAGGGATGCTAAAACAAAATTCATTTCTGTCTTAAATGGGTGACCCTTTAATTTTAACAGTGGTGCCTGGTTCTAGGATCTTCCACAAGCGGAAACATCCACATCACATCCACCTGGTCAGTACCCATCAGGATCTGACATATTTCAATCAAGTCATCTCTTACTGCTCTAAACTCCAGTGGGTACAAGCCTGAGCTCATCCAATCTTTCCTCATAGCATAACCCTCCCATCCAGGTATTCTTAGAGGTACTGGGTGTGAGACAGTGGGTCAGTCACTGTCCTTCCTGCAATCCTTCCCCCACCACCTCCAGGACTGGGTGGGACAGTGGATCAGACACTGTCCTTTCTCCCCTCCCTCTGGGACTGGGTGGGACAGT